AAGAGCAATGGGCTTACAGATATCATATCTTAACCAAAGCAATCTACTCTAAAAATCACCAGAATATACGTAGGGCTTCTATAGGAGGTTACTGCTACCCCCACAAAGTGATCAGAAACTAACTATTAAAACTAACCTAACCTAACCATTAAAACTAATCTAACAAAATAAAAAGGACATAATTAACTAGAAATGCCCCAATCAATGGCCCAGAAACTAACCATTAAAACTAATCTAACAAAATAAAAAGGACATAATTAACTAGAAATGCCCCAATCAATGGCCCAGAAACTAACCATTAAAACTAATCTAACAAAATAAAAAGGACATAATTTACTAGAAATGCCCCAATCAATGGGCCCAGAAACAAAATATAAAACTAATCTAAGAAAATTGAGAACATAATTTACTAGAAATGCCCCAATCAATGGCCCAGAAACAAAATATAAAACTAATCTAAGAAAATTGAGAACATAATTTACTATAAATGCCCCAATCAATGGCCCAGAAACAACAAATAGGAAATCTAACAAAATAATGAGGACATTTCTTTGTAGAAATGTCACTTAAGATAACCAACAGATACCTTGCACTGAAAATATTTCAGTATGAGTTATGGAAGTATTATATTTCAATATGCATGCTATGGTAAGATCTCCATTACTGTTTCAGCCACAGTGGTACACGATGGCAACTGAGACACCAATACTGACCATGCAAGTATAAAAAATGAGAAGCTTTGCAATATAAATAACATAAAACCCCTTGCAAACAAATGTAAAGGATGGAATGACAAAAAAAATGTCTTACATGCACTATATAATGACATTCAGCCCTCACCAAACATAGAGGGTGACCTGAATCCAAGCAATCTTAACTATGTAACAACACTGCCCTCACCAGACACAAAGATGATCTATTTGTGAACTATGTAACAACACAGCCCTCACCAGACACAGAAGATGATCTAGTTGTGAACTATGTAACAACACAGCCCTCACCAGACACAGAAGATGATCTATTTGTGAACTATGTAACAACACAGTCCGTTACATAGTTCACAACCAGATCATCTTGTGTGTCTGGTGAGGGCTGTGTTGTTACATAGTTCACAAATAGTTCATCTTGTGTGTCTGGTGAGGGCTGTGTTGTTACATAGTTCACAACCAGATCATCTTGTGTGTCTGGTGAAACACAGCCCTCACCAGACACACAAGATGAACTATTTGTGAACTATGTAACAACACAGCCCTCACCAGACACAGAAGATGATCCAGTTGTGAACTATGTAACAACACAGCCCTCACCAGACACAGAAGATGATCTAGTTGTGAACTATCATAATCTACTAATAAACAAAGTATAACAATCTAAAGAAATTGTAGTCTTTGGTCAAAAAAAAATCAAACTAAAAACATCAAATATAAAAAAAGCAGGTCCAATATAAATTATATTAAAAAAAACATCCATATGTCAAAGATTTCAATGAATGTATACCTTCCAAGACTAAAATTATAAGCTAGACTTTCCTAAAGATTCAAGGAAACATTAAAGTCAGAAAGACTATACCATGACAAGAATGACTGGCCACACAAACAGGCCTAATCAATTCCAAAAACAGCAAAGCCACATTAAGCTATCTGCTGTGTCCACCGTATGGAATCAAACCCTGAATTATAATGTTGCAAGTCCATAGACTCACTGTTGTCCCACCAGCAGACTATTTCAAAACTGCAATGACCTCTAGGGAACACTATTCAATGTGGAAATCATCTAGAGGAGAGTAACTATCAAAAAAGGAAATCCTCTAGGGAAAGTAACCACTAAGGAAATCTTTTTGGGGAGAGTAACCACCAAGAAAATCCTATAAAAGAGAGTAACCACAAAGGAAATCCTCTAGAAAAGAGTAACCACAAAGGAAATTCTCTAGAAGAGAGTAACCACAAAGTAAATTCTCTAGAAGAGAGTAATTACCAAAGAAATCCTCTAGAAAAGAGTAACCACAAAGGAAATCCTCTAGAAGATAGTAACTATAAAGGAAATCCTCTAGAAGAGAATAACCACAAAGTAATTACTCTAGAAGAGAATAACCACAAAGGAAATCCTCTAGAAAAGAATAACCACAAAGGAAATCCTCTAGAAGAGAATAACCACAAAGTAAATCCTCTAGAAGAGAGTAACCACAAAGGAAATCATCCAGAAGAGAGAGTAACCACCAAAGAAATCCTCTAGAAGAGAATAACCACAAAGGGAATCCTCAGGGAAGAGAATAACCTCAAAGGAAATCCTCTAGAAGAGAGTAAACACAAAGGAAATCCTCTAGAAGAGAGTAACCACAAAGGAAATCCTCTAGAAGAAAGTAACCACAAAGGAAATCCTCTAGAAGAGAGTAACCACAAAGGAAATCCTCAGGGAAGAGAATAACCACAAAGGAAATCCTCTAGAAGAGAGTAACCACAAAGGAATCCTCTAGAACAGAGTAATCACCAAAGAAATCCTCTAGAAGAGAGTAACCACCAAAGAAATCCTCTAGAAGAGAGTAACCACCAAAGAA